AAAAGAATACTTAATACACTTAGTACATATGAGCCTCTTGAATTTTCTAAATGTATTTTGTTTGTGTTATCAAAAAAAAAAGGGGGGGGAAGTTGCTTAGCTTGGCCCTCAGCTCAGGAGACACCAAAGTGAAGTATTTCCATCAGCATGTTCATTCTGGCTCCACATTACAGTGTGTTTTCACAGAGTTTTAGTTCTTTACATAATTATTTCAGACTGTATCATTGAAGAGCATGGCTTGTGTAATGTGAGGTGGTGTGTGGTGTCTTCCAACAGCCCATATGTCCTGTTTGAATTTAGAGAACACTTAAATATTTATAAAAGATTAAAAAGAATGTTACATGCACGTTTTCATTGATTGTGAATGTGCAATGTTAGAGTAGAAGATAGTTTAATTCTAGCAATTCCACATGTAGCACATCTGGTAATATGTATGTTTATATATAGTAGTTAAGCAGCAACTTTGATGCTCTGTGAGGAATCTACCACAGAGTAACTTAGAGCAGGCAATCAGCAGCTTTTCTGACTAAATGCTGAAGACTACAGTGTTAAGTACTTCCATCAGAGCTAGCTCCTTGTGGTGGTACCTGCTTTTAAGGGTTTTAATTTGCACAGACTACACTGTAAATTGGATTGTGCATAAGATGAATCTGAGGTGACTAGATGGGATCTGGGTGCTGATGATGCAGCCACTCCCGTGCTGAGTGAGGAAAACTCTATCCTTTCTTTCCTAGAGAGGAGGATTTATTTTGTCCAGCTTTGATATCTGTATGATTCTGTCTCTAGAGCTAGTTATGCAGGTGACAAATATAGGTAGAAGCAAAAAAAAGACTTCTAGAGCACAAAAAACATATTAATGCAAATCTCCAAAGTAGTCATATCGCTCTCTGGCTGCCAGTAGAGGTTTCCATTCCCTTAAAGATTGTAGCTGTGCCTTGCCTTTAAAACTCCATTTCAGATTTTGATCTAGGCCCAGTTAGGACAGATTTTAACTTATGGTTCCAGACCCTCTCAGCAGAGGTGGTTTTCTAGCATTTCAGAACTAATCTGTTTAAAAATATGCTTTCTACAATATTATATTTTTAAATGAATGCTATGATACATCAAGTGAGAGGCACTAAGATGAGCAGCATGGAAGTGGAGAAGAGTCACAGAATCATAGGCTGGGTTGGGTTAGAAGGGAACTTTCAAGGTCATCTGGTCCAACCCCCTGCAGGGACAGGGACATCTGCAGCTAGAGCAGGGTGCTCAGAGCTTGGTCCAACCTCACCTGGGATGGTTCCAGGGATGGGGCAGTGACCACCTCTCTGGGCAGCCTTGGCCCCAGGGGCTCACCACCCTCAGCAGCAAATGTTTCTTCCTTCTCCCTAGTCTAAATCTCCCTCTTTTAGTTTCAAACCATCCCCTCTTGTCCTGTGACATCAGGCCCTGCTCAAAAGTCTGTCCCCAACTGTGAATTTGCATATGTAACAACATGCCCTAGAGAAGAGGAACTGTTGTTTTATGGAAGATCTCAAAGTACCCCAGATGAAGATACCTGTTTCCTAGAGACCATCCTGTGGGCAGTTGAAGGGGCTGGATTCCCTTTTGCTTGCTTGCTGCCTGCCAAGGGTTTTGTCATGCTGCACTTCCACCTGTGAAACACAACAGATAATGTTCAGTTGTTGTAGACAACTCCATGATTTATAATAGGCTTAAACAACTTCTGAAACTGTCTCTGAAAATTGCCCTGTGCTGGGGTAGAGCAGAGAACGTGAAATTGATACAGCCCTTCCTGAAACAGAGCTGGTGAAGCCCTAGAATTTGTCTAGCTGTAATAAACTGTGTTGGAATGAGACATAAACAAAATGTACACTTAGTTATACTGGGATAAAGAATATTTCCAGGTTATGATCAAGTCACAGATGAGAAGTGTGAGGGTGGGGCGTGGGGTGGGAAGAGAGATCTCCTAAGATGTAACTCTTCTCTCTGTCAGAAGGATCTCGTGGTTAGGGTCTGAAACAAGGGAAAAAATACACAAATGTTTAACAGCAGTGTCAATGTTTCAAGTACAGTTGCCATGAGGTAATTCTTAATTGGGTTTTAATGAATTAAAAATAAGGTATGTGGCAGCTAGAAATGATGGAAGTGATGTTGATGAACCTGTGATCTCTTCATGTCCAAAGGTGAAGCTATTTTAGCATCGTTAGACCTTTGTGGCCTCATCTACAAAGCAGAGTGTGTTTTTGGCTTGGAGAACTGAAAACATTTGCAAAAACCTGTGTCAGTTTTGTGTTTGCAGATGCTTTCTCGTGGTAAAGTAACCAAAGCTAAGGAGGTTTGCTTTGTTTTTAACCAGCTGAAATGAATTCCTTTTTTTTTCTTTTTTTTGTGGAATTATTTTAAAATGTTTGGAGATTTATTTGTTAATGGAAATGTCAGTGGGTGGTGGATTTCATGGAATTCTATGACACTGATTTATTTTTTTAAGTGCTTTAGTCACTGTGATTGTTAGAGCTGAAATGAACGTGCTAATTTGCCTTTTGTTTCTTAATTTTGTGTTTTATCCTCTAGCTGCTGAAGAACCATCAGTAAATGTAGAGAACTTGAAAGCTGTGACCATGGAAACATTTAACTTTTTTCTTTTTTTTTTTTTTTGCTTTCAAAGTTAATTTGAGTTTATCCTGAACTTTTTTTTTATTGGTTTGGTTGAAAGGTTTGTCCAGAGGGGTCGCATTTATCCGGTTTGACAAAAGGTCAGAAGCAGAAGAGGCAATTACAAATTTCAATGGTCACAAACCCCCAGGTTCCTCGGAACCCATTACAGTGAAGTTTGCAGCCAACCCTAACCAGAACAAAAACGTGGCACTGTTGTCCCAGCTGTGTCATTCGCCAGCTAGACGCTTTGGAGGGCCCGTGCACCACCAGGCACAGAGATTCAGGTAGGTCAGGAGGAGTAACTCGTTTCAGGCTGTGCTGTTCCCATGTCTGTGGGAAGTTGTCCTCCTGCAGCTCTGCAGCAACCTCTCCAGTGCAGCACGTGTGAATGAATGCCTAGTGCACTGTCTGTCCTGCAGTGTGATGTAAATAAACTGTCAAATTAAAATATGATTAAAGGAAAAATCTCACTTGTAAAAGTTATATTTAATTATGTAAAGGTCCACACACTACAGTGTCTCCACAGTGTCTAGTGGGATGATAGAAAGCAGCAGATTCCAGATGGGTGTTGGTAGATGCCTGTCTCAACAGATCCCCATTCTGGAGTCCACGTGTCTGAATGCAGATGGAATTGGGCAACTTAAAGCTCTGAACCATTGGTTCCAGCAGGGAGGTGTCGTGGTAAAATAGGAAAACCTGATTTCTGATTAAGAGATTCTGGGTGATTTCTGCCTGCCTCGTGAGCTGTGCAGGGATCTCTCATTCCTTGAGTCCTCATAAGTTCAGAAAGATGATTGAGTAATTGCAACACACTGTCTGCTTCCTGAGCTGTGGAAGATCTTGTGTTTGCCTTTGAGAATTGCCTTAGCTGCTGTGAACACCAGCTGCTTGAATGTCAATTCCCTCAGCTGCTTAAGGGAGGGTGTTGCTGTTGAAGTGTGCTCTGGAAAATGCATGATATTTACTTCTTGCAGATAAGTAATTTGCTGTGTTATGAAACGTGTTTCTGAGAGCAGTGTTTCCTCTTGAGAATTTACCTTTTTTTTTTTTTTCCTTTTTCTCCTCTGAGGTCTCCAATTAGCTCAGTGAAATTGGACTAAAAACTAAAATAGCTTTTTGCAGTGCTGCTGTTGCAGTAATGCTCTGACACTTCCATAATGCTTTGGTTTAGCATTTTAAGAACTGTGTAATGTCACCAGTGGGAGTTAGTACTTTATAGTCTTCTGTTCTTTTATGCATAGAGTGATAGAACAGGTTGCCCAAGGACTGTGGAGTGTCTGTCCTTGGAGATGCTTAAAACCTGTCTGGAATGGGCCTGAGCAACATGCTGTAGGTGCCCCTGCTTTGAGCAGGGAGGTTTACTCAGGGATTTCCAGAGGGTCCTTGCTGACCTCAGTCATTCTCCAGTTCTCTTCAGCTGTAGCCCAGGCAGGTTTAATGCAGGCAGCTCCTCAAAGGGTATTTAATTTCCCTGAAGCACTCATCCAGATCTCTGCACCCAAACCTCCTAAGCCACACCAAGGAATGAAATTCTACACTGTTGGCAGTTAGATGAAGTATTAAGCTTCAACATCTGTCTTGTGTGTCAGCTAAGACTTCAGTGTGTCCTGGTCCTAGTAAAATCTTGAGGCTTATGTCTCATGTTTTCATTCTTAATGTAACTGGACCTTTTTTCATCATTTTTCTGCTTAAATTTTATAACAGAATTAAGATGCATCAGAATAAGCAGTAGAAATAATATTAACATCCATAATTAACATACCAGATAGCTTTAATTCTGTCCTATAACAATCACTCAGTAACAGTAAAAATTAATGTATTTATGTTAACAGTTGCAGGTGAGACTGACATTTGATGACCAGCTCATTCATTATTCTTCCCTGGTGCATCAGGAGCAGTGCTGACACTGCTTGCAGGCACTGCCTGTGTTTCTGAGGCAGGGTATTTCACAAGTCAGGGTAAGGGAAAAGAAAATGTTCTGCCTCTTTCTGTTCCACTCCTGCTTCTGTGGTAACCGTGTCCAATCAAGTTGTCTGTGCCCAGTGCTCATTTTTAACCCTTTTTGGCCAACTTCTCTTCCTAATTGTGGGCTTTGGTGGAGAAAGAGCTGAAGATTTTCAGGTGCTACAGACTGGCAGAGGTAGGAACAGAGCAGTTTTGGGTTAAGCCATGCTGTTACAGATGTGTGGTGGAGACAAGAGTCACCAGCTGACTTGAAGGCAAGAACTGTCCATCTCTTTTCATGTCTTGTCACAAACCTGCAAGAACTTCTTACTAAACTTCCCTCAATCACACGTGCACAGCATGCACATACATGTGTGCACAACACATCCACCCTCCCACAGCCCTTTTTTATTTTTCTTCCCACCTTTGGTGTAAACTGCAAGTTGTTCTAGTGAGTCTTCCTTAAGGGATGCTGAAGTTAATGAGTTATAATGACTGTGGTAAAACTCAGAAACCTGAGCTTGAACTGAATCTTGTTTGTTTTGTGTAGTGAAACAAAACATGATGAAAGGATAAGCTGCTTCCAAGGAGCTCACAGTCTGTATAAATTACAGTTGTGGTCTCTACTGCATAGAGGTTGAATACTTAAAACTGACATTTTGATTACACTTCATCTTGTTCCATCATATCCCTGTAAATCCAGGATTAGGCCTTTAGTATATCTAATTTGTAATTATTAATTTCCTACAGATATCGCTCAAACCCTTTCTTTAATGTCCCCTTAATCCTGTGTAGTTCCTCTGGTATTTGTGGCTCACGTCAGGAGCTGCTTTTAAAGCCCTGTCCCACTGGGAGTGCTGGGTTGGCCTGCCAGTTCTGAGACTATTCCCATCCAGAAGGAAGGGTGCTGCAGCATGGGATTGTGTCTGGAGGATGGATAAAACATCTGGGCAAGGATTTCTTTCAGATATAAGATTTGTTTACTTAAGAGCAGATCTTTAGGTGTTGAACTCTGATGAAATTAAGGAGTTCAGCTCCTAAAACTTGAGCAGCCTGGCCAAAGCCCCAGGGAGTCCTCTGTGTTTACAGTTCACCAGAGCTTTATGCTGCAAGATGTTCTTTAAAATCTCAAAAGTACTCCCAGTTCAGCTGGTTTTGCCTTCAGTCTTGTTCAGGGTTGGAGCCAGTTCCCACGTGTTTTAATGGGCATAATTCAGTTGATATCAGAGTCTGTCAGTTAAGTCCAAAATGCCTGAAGGGGAGTTGCTATTTCTTGGTAATTCCTTAGTCAAGGGGAGATGCAAGAAGACTCTGAGGTGTTTAACCCTGTCACTCATGCTGTTGCTCAGACAACTCCTGTGCATCTGTTTTGTTTCACTCCAGTGAAATTTTTTAAATTTTCAACTTCTAAGCCAATTTGTCACTTGGTGCAGGTTGTCTGTGTTGAGAACATTTCATGTTCTATCAGGCTTAAAGCTTGTATCACCAAACTCTCAACATATCTTGTTCTGTACCCAGCAGATTGTTCCTCTCTGTGTCAAGGGACAGGAGAAGAAGTTGCTTGTGTCAGAAGCAGTGGATGTGACCAGTCTCAATCTAGTTGAACTGCTCTTTTTGGAACTATTTAAAAATAAAAAGGTGCCAAGCTCATGTAGAAAGACAACACAGGCTAATATTAAAAATAATATTACTGCTTATTACCATTGTCTAAGCTGGGGGATTGCTCCCATCTGGGATGCTGTATATAGTTCTCAGGTTGCAGTGAAAAGAATTCACCAAAAAAAATTGATAGGACTGTCATAGAACTAAAAGGAAATTGTTTTCATTTAGGAGAATAATTTCTGAGACTGTGTCCTTTGGTGTTAATCCCAGAATCTAGTAAATGAAGCAGTCTCAGAACAGTAGCACGTAGTAATAAGTCATTCATATAAATGGGAAGCTTAGAAAGTGAAGAAGATTATGATTAAAAATACTGTGGCTGTCACCAAATGTTAGAGTGTTGAGGTTAGCCTGACTTAGGAGAACCATCCATGGTAACATCATCCACAGGTGCTTAGGGAGGACTGAAAGAGCAATGTGGAGGAGACAGTATAAAAATAAATACAACAAAAATCAGAACACCAGCAGTAAGTATCATAACACTGAGATTGTTCAAATTATGTTAATGGAATTTGAAAAACATTTTCTTTGAAACATCTTGGATCTCTGATGGCTTTAATGTTGTTTGGCCAAATCAGTCTTTTAAACACCCTTAAGTACAACTTCCTAAGAGTGGTTTTCAGTTTGTGTGGTCAAAAAGATCTTTTCCTGTAGGACAAAGGTGTTTTGTATGAGCTGCTCTGTGCCTGACTGCCTACACACAGGCTGTCAGCCCAGGCTGAGCAGATCTGGTGTCCCCTTTGCTCGGGCCCTCAGCACAGGCTGAGCACTGAGATTTGCCAGGTCAGCTGAACTGTGGTGGGAGCCTGCTCTGCTCTGCTCTGCTCATCACGGGTGCTCTCCACATAGGTCTGATCCTCTGCCCCATTTACTGTCACTTGTCCAAATTTCTTTTATGATGGTTGGTTTTTAACCAACCAGAAATCTTTTTGTGAAAATCTTTTTTTTGCATGTGAGCTTGCTAAGTGTAGCTTCACTTTCAAACCATGCCACATCTGGGTAAGGGGATATTGTGTGTGAAGTGATGTTTCCCATGGTTAGGTGGTTTTTTTAAATTATCTTTCAAGTCTTTTATGTGTGATGTTTCCCATGGTTAGGTGTTTTTTTTAAATTATCTTTCAAGTCTTTTAGGAATGTTTTGACCCTGTTTTGTTTGGGTTTTTTTATTAAACTGTAGAATGTTTGTGAGTCAAAGCAGGAAGAGAGGAGAATGTTTGAAAATTGCTGTATCCAAAGAACAGAGGTAGCATTTTGCCTGTAATATGCATTCAGATTCGCTGTCTTCCTGCATTCAGCCCCCAGCACTACAGATGTTCTACAGGTGTTTCCCATTGTTGCTGCACTGCAGCTCTGGGCTCGTGGGCAGAGCCCGAGGGGTTAGAGCAAGCGGGGTCAGGGCCACACTGACTGCTGGAACCAACATCATGCAGTTCTGAGCTTGGCGATTCTTCAGCTCCACACACGTGAGCAGGAGCCCAAGACTGGTGATCTGTTGAGATGAAAACTTACCAGATATGAAAACAAAAACATCCTACCAGATCGTTCCTCAAATGGAAAGAAGCTACAGAGCTGAAGGTGTCGGGCAGAAAAAGGGAATAAAGCATGCAAACACAAGAACATTTTTATATGAAAGCAAAATGAGTAGTAGCTATGTCACACAACCATCAGATCACGTGGACCAGCGTGTCTCATTCACATTCTGATCCTTTTAACTGCTTTTTCAGTTTTACTGTAGTACAAGGATTCCCAAACATGGATTTGCTTGGGGCTGGCCAACAGTGGCAGCGGCAGTGAGTACGTGCAGCGTGAGCTCAGGGGTGTCTGCACTGGGCTCCAGGAGCAGCAGCAGCAGGTAGCCAGCAGGGCTGAGCCGGGGCAGCAGCAGCAGCCAGGCTGTGATGGAGGGGAAGGCTCTGTGCCCCCAGGACTGCCCCTGCTCTGGGTGCAGGAGAGGCTCAGCTCAGCTGTCCCAGGAACTGAGCTCTCTTGGAGCGCCGGCGAGCCTGGGGCAGGGAAGGTGGTGACTGAGTGGTTCTGTGGTATGAGTGCATGGCCCGAGGTGCCACACTGACCTGGCTGCCCTGCGTGGATGTGTGTGCTGCTGCAGCTCTGCCCCCCTCCCTCCCAGGCACACTGCCTCCAGCCCTCCCTCCTCTAGAAAGACAGCAGCAGCTCTTGTCTTTGTGCAGGGCAAGGAAAAGTCAGTGGGGAAGTGTTTGGCACTTAATGCAGCGTTCACTGCCCAGACATCCATTCCCTGTTTCCTCCAGGTCAGCAGAGAATCAGGAACTGCCTCCGCCAGGTTCTTGGCAGAAAGCAGCACGTGTACCGCTTTTAAGTGGTTTGCATATCACCAGTGGTACACCACAGTTTGGGAACCCCTGGTATAGTATAATTATATTTCTACAATCACGTGACCTCACATTTTTAAATAATACATAAGCACGAGGGATCAACCTGAGGTTTTAACCTTAACTTTCACATTTTCTGATCTTTGAGTGCTTAGCTGTGCAGCCGTAATATTGCATTAAAATATTCTGAAGCTTTGAATTTCTAGGATGGAGACCAGAGATAGAATAAAGGGGAATTAGAGACGTGGGTTATAGGAGAAAATACTACAAAGCAAGGCATAAAAAGGAGAGGAATTTTGCTTTTTATTATGCATAAATACTGCTGGGATACTATGCAGGAAGCAGAGTTTAGGAAGTGTGGGTAGGTGATGTGAAAATTCCAGTTTGGTAAAGTCAGATAAGTTTTCCTAGTATAAAGTTGGTGTAAAATTAATAAGAAAACCATTCCTGCGTACTGACATTGTAAAACTCCTTCAGTGTGGTTTGCTACTTTGATGTTTGAAAGCTACTGCAGCTAGAATATCTGCATAACCTGTATTAAGGAGTAAAAACCTGAGATTTAAATTCTGTAGCTAAAAATGTGGCGCTCCCAGCTACTCAGAACTGACTGAGGAAGTGCCAATATTTCCTTAGCTGCCTAATAGCTGTGAGTCTGCACAACTGTGGCTTATGAAGTAGCTTTGCTCATATTGGGAGTGTTTTCCTACACCTGCTGCCTTATGGTGGAAAAGGGAGTAGGTTTTGTTGTGTTCCACCAAAAAATAAATAAAAGGGGAAATTTAAATTACTACACACCATTTCTACTCCTAAGACCAGAGCACTCCCTCTCTCCCCAGCCCCAGCAAAACCCAAAGAAACCCTTTGACTTAGAGTTCCCAAGGTACCATTTTAGAGGCAAGAAAAGGAGGCTATGGGATGCACGCTCCCTGAGTGAAGTAAGTGGGAGGTGCCTGAGGGTGGCCTGGAGCAGGCTGAGGCCTCTGGGGAGGTGTTATCCCCACGGGAGCAGATCTGCACTGACCCATGGAGTGCTCTGAACAGCCTAGCTGAGTCTCAGAGCTCCATCTAGATCCCCTGTGAAGGTAATCATGTAATCGTGCCTTGCAACTGCTCTGTTGCCTCCCTATTTCTCAGGACAGTTCCCTATTGATAAGCAGTTGGAATACTTAACTCTTTTTCCCCTGGCAGCTGTCAATTTGATTGTCAATTTGAATGGGGAAACGTTATTTTCTGGCGGTTTTGATGTCCATGTAGAAAATATTCATTCTCAGTTGCTTCCCATTCAAGTTAATTTGCTTAATTGAATTGAACTTTTACATGAAATATTGTGCTTTTTATTTGCTAGGTTCTCTCCTATGGGTGTAGATCACATGAGTGGGCTTTCTGGTGTAAATGTTCCAGGAAACGCATCTTCTGGCTGGTGTATCTTCATCTACAACCTTGGTCAAGATGCTGATGAGGGAATCCTCTGGCAGATGTTTGGCCCCTTTGGTGCGGTTACCAATGTGAAAGTTATTCGAGATTTCAACACCAACAAGTGCAAAGGTTTTGGTTTTGTGACCATGACAAACTATGAAGAAGCTGCAATGGCCATAGCAAGTCTTAATGGCTACCGCCTGGGGGACAAAATCTTACAGGTTTCCTTCAAAACCAACAAGTCCCACAAATAACTTGCTCGTGCTTTTTGTATGGAATAGATAATTGAGTGACAGAAGTTGAAACATTTTTGTTAGTGTAAAACTCATTTTGCGCCAATTTTCACAAGTGTTTGTCTTAGTCTAAATGAGAAGTGAAAAAGGTTTTATATTCTGGGATGCAACTGACATGTTCAAATGTTTGAAATCCCACAATGTTAGACCAATTTTAAGTTCCTTTAAGTTATTTCATTTAAAACATGTTAAAAATCCCCTGAAATCTTTGAGTAGATTGCATTAACTAGACCCTCTGGATGGTGGTAAAATTGAAGCATGCTTTCACTTATGAGACTAACATTTGTTCCATTGAATGTTGTCTGCGAAAACTGGAATTTTGTGGAAAATATTAGGCTGATTTCATTAATTTTCTTGTTTTTTATGTTGTTGTTTTTCCTACCCATTCCTGTGACCTTCTCTACCTACCCCCGACTCAGTAGTATGGAAGAAAAGTTGAGAAATACTAATGTTTTAGTTGACAGTAAATTGTTTGATCAATTAATTGCTACGTATGTAGTTGAGGATTAGGCTTTCTAAAGTCAAGGTCTTGTAAGTAGTAGCATGCCAGCATAACTTTTAACACCATTGATGAGGTAAGTTGCACACTGAGCAATGGCCGAGCTGTTAAATTCAAAGGTTTTAGAAACATTACTTTTAAAACCCACTTTCTAATAGGAATGGACCAAAGAGTTTCAAAGAAACTCCGGGAAGATGACAGAGTCAAAATGAAACTCCAAAAAGAGTGTGAATCTATGTTGCTACTTTATCAAACTGAATCTCTTCTGTCCAAATATTTAATGCATGGTGCACTACTTACTGGTACATTATAATGCAGCAAGATACTTACTCATTTTCAAAGATCATTATAGTTTGAATTCCTTTTGGTAGCTCTATTTCGTAAAGAAAAAACAGTTATAAACATTTGAGCATTGTATTTCTCGCATCCCTTCTAATGAGTGCTAGAATTTTCTATTTTAATAGGATTTTGTTTTGACAACTAGCTTTACTTATTGAACACTCAGCAGAAAAGTACTTACTACTTGCAAGTTAGATATTAACAAAAAAAAAAAAACCCTTTGATTTGTAGATTTGAAGATTAATCCCCCAAGTTTTCTGCAGACTGCCTTGAAACTTTGAGTTGTTCTGTTTCTGTTAATTTTCTTTTGCTTTTTTGTGTTTTTTGTTTGTTTTTACTTTTGCATTTAAGAACATTAAATTTGATTTTGTTTTGCTCAAATTTTGTTTTGTTTTTTATTTTCTGTTATTTTTTTGCTAAGTATTGCACAAAGTGTCCAGCTTTCAAAGAGTGTTGTTTTAAAGAACCGCAGTTCCTCTTCAAGAGTTTTAAGTTACTTCTTTGACAGATGAGTAGAAGAAAAAGGGTTGTGAAACAAGAGCACCACAATAAATCTGTCACACAGAAGCCGTGTGCCACAGACTGATGTGACCCTGCAGGTGTTGCTTGGTAGGAAACCCAAACAGGATTACTCCATCAGGTAAAGGCTGTGTAAGGATACTGTGCACGATTAGAGGTTTGCCCTGGGCAACTTTCAGGTGTAGAGTTGATGTTCAGTGGCCAGAAGACAGAGAAAACATGAAAATGGGGGTCAGTGGCAGTTTTATTGCAGTGTCTCCTTTTTTTGTGTGGACCTCTACCAGTCCCAAAGTGTGTTTTCAAATTCCAGAGGCTCTTCCACGCTGCCTGCTTGTGTCCTGAGCTGACCTTGCCTCGTGTTCACCATCGTTTCCCTTCTGCCTCCAGTAGGATCTGCAGTCTTGCACAGCCTGAAGAAGTCTGCAGAGCAGCTAACTGGCTGCCCATCCCCATTCAGTACCTTCAGCACTGTCCAGGAAATGCTGTCCCTGACATTTCTTAAAGCACTGTAGATAGTCCTTGCCTCGGTGAGCAGCCTCCCACTGTCTCTGAGCTTGTGTGCAGTGAATGTAAGTGGGATTTTTGCTATTAATACATTCAGCCTTGCCTTCCCTGCCACTCCTGTTCACTCTGCCATCTTTTGAGAAGCACAATGGTCTGTAAAACAGTGGTTGGGACAGAGCACTCAGCCAACTCTCACCTGCCAAAGTGTTTTCTGGCTGTCTGTTCCAGGTCTTTCCACCAATCTATATCATCATTCATTTATCACTTCAACAGACACTTCTTTTCCTTGTGTAAGGAGAGGTTCAGAAGCACTTGGGAGATTTCTCCCAAGTTAAAACTGAGTAGTATAGACAAGTCCTCATACTGTGTCCCATCACCTTTTCACCTCATGCTGTCCTGTTGTATGGGTCTGCAAGAATTTCCAATTTCCTGTCATTCTCTCTTGCCTTATTTCATGTAAGATTAATTTTCACCCTAAATAGGAGTTACTCTTTTATCACAGCATTTAGATGGGGTTTCAGGCTTCCAGCAGATGACACCCTGAGTGTGACTTTGCATCTGTAACAGCTACAGGCATGCTGCCATCCCAGCTGGATCAGCAGCACCCTGCTGTGAGCTCACCAGCTGCCACTTTGGTTTTTTTAAAAAAAACCCTTTTCTTGGAGACTTTTTGGCATCACTGTCATCGCACTGCTGCTCTCTGTTTCCATCTTTCATTCTTTGCTAAATAAGAGGAGAATACAGGATATTGTTCCAGTAGTGGTATGAAAACATCTCTTTTAGGAAATACCTGATCCCAGCTTCCTTTAATAGTGCTCTGAAAATAGGCAGTTTTGGTGAGCAAAGCACCAGTGCTTGAGTTAGGAAAAGAGGAAACAAAATCCTACTGATACATCAAGGGCTGATGCCAAAAGGAGTGTATGGTCTGCACCTTTCTAACAGTCAATAAATACTTGGCATAAATAGCTAAAGTAAAGAAAAAACTGTGCATATATTCTTAATGCTTTGGTCCTAAACAATAGCCCATGTATCACTAGTAAAGACCAAAAGGAAACTCTGGATGTGGAAACTGAATTCTTACAACAAATAGTTTGCCAGCAGCTTTTCTACTGAAGAGGTGGGAACCACTGTTTTCCTTGCCACATCATCCAGCATAAGCTGCTTGGAAGCTCTCCCTTGAATATACCTGTTTCAAGAGAGGTTTTGGCCTCTTAATCCTCAGGGAGTTTAGAAAAACTGCAGATATGTTCTGCTTTTTCATCCTTTAATTAGATTAAATACAGACATTTCTTTTAGGCAGCGCTTCTGTCATAGGGAGTGCTTAAAAGATCTTTGCAAAACCAAAGCCCTATCTTGGACTAGAGGTCTCTTACATTTCTCATGAGATGTAGTAGGCTCAGTAAGGGGGAGAATACTAGAAAGTCTTGGTTGGTGGATTAGGACATGATGATCTCATTTTAAAGGACTGGATTTGATGGTCCATACTGGAGATGTGCTGTGACAGCTGTGATGGGAAGGTTTTGGGTCCTTTAGAGTAGGTTAGAAGCCTCACAGGACACCCCCAGGTACCTGCTTCTGAAGGATCAGGCATTATCCCTGATGCAGACACATCATTGTGGCCATGCTGCTGTTGCAGGCTCTTGTGTGTGGATGTAGAAGAGGATTTGGATGTCACAGGGGACAGGGTGTGGGGTTTTGTGCCAGTGTTTCTGAAGGGATAAATTTGGCTTTTGTGAACCTGCAATTTGGGCAACACCATTTCCTTTATACACTTACTTGATTAGCCAGACAAATATGGTGACAAAAGGAGAAGTTTGTCTGCCTGTGTATAGAAGGGCAAGGGGAGGAGGTTTTTTCATCCATGTCCTTATGGTCAGGGTAGCTCAGAGCTGAGGATCTGCCAGCTGGGTGGCAGAGACCAGTGATGCTGCTGACAGAGTTCAGCTGGGCTCTCTTTTCAAATGGACCTGTTGGCTTTGTGTCCAAAACTCCCTTGCTTTCAGAAGGAGAGCACTTGTCTGCATGTGAACACTTAGCAGTTCTCAGGAACTCTGTAGCTTTCCCCAGCCCTGAGTCACGCTGGGTGTTCCCACTGCTGACCCCAGGGCAGTCTGCAGCTCCGTCACCCTTGAGCCTTGGCCTCTGGGGCAATCAAAAGGCTTCCTATGCAAGGGCAGGATCCTGTGTTGAGACCTGGTCAGCCTTCAGGACCTGGAATGTTAAGCCCATTCTCTTCTTCAGGAAATTTTACCAGCTGTTGAATGTCTGGTGTTATTTTAATTATTGCTTTAGAATCATCGTGACTGATCTGGATATTTCTTCTGAAGGGGAAACTGTGCTGCCCTTACTTTGTACCTGTCCTTTTCTCCCCTCTTTTCAAATACCTGTTGGATCTGACACTCCCAAGAGGGCTCTTCTCAGGTCAAGGCAGGGCTGCTTGTTACAAGGCTGATTCCAAAATTGCACATGAGCAGTCTTCATTCTTTGCAAGACTGGAGTTTCACTCTAAAATGAGGCAATACCTAGTTAAGAGCAAAGCTGTCCTGATTGTGGTTGAAGACCACCTCTAAACTTCTGTCAAGAGGTTCTGGGCTTTAGTTGTGTTGTACAGAATAAAAACAATCAATCAGGTTTTTCTCAGTATGTTAGAAAAAAAAATTGAGTTTTGTCAAAATTTAAATTCCTTGAAGACTTTATTCAGACTTGGTCTTTTCCAGTCTGATTTATTAATAAAAGTATTTGTTCCTACTTAGTAACTCACATTTGCTTCTCAGATTTCCACTATGAATAGTATTCACCCCTGTGTGGGGAGCTAGCCACGAGCCTGGTCACAGTTTAAACCTTCTGTTAAGCATTTGCAGATAGGGAGATTTCACAGTAAATTCAGAACAGGAGACTCAGCTGTTGCTGTGTGTTTTGTACAAGCTGGCAGAGGCAGGTACGGTTCCTCCAGGTGAGAGGGCAGCATCAGAAGAGCCATGAACATGAGCTAAGTCCAAAGCAGCTTAGTGTGTTTTGTGATCCCATTTTAGATGGTGTCTGTGTACTAAAGTGTTGAATTTATTTTGTTCTTCAAGCTCCATCGTTGTAAGCTTGGTTTACCTGAGATGCTGTGATCCTCTCTTCTGCTAGAGGACGGGAACTGAGCTGATGCAGTTAATGTTGCCTCCTGGGCCGAGCTTGTGCCAGCCCCTTCACTTCTGCCCTAGACCTGGGACTGAGAAGGGCTGGAGGGTCCATCCCTTAGGGTGGAAGAAATCAGGAAACACCACTGTCCAGAGCAGCCCCACAGTGGCGTGTGCCCACACATCCCTGTCCTTCCCTTTGGTTGGGTATGGTCTTTGTACACCTGCATTGTGGTAGCATGAAAACACTGAAAATTCAGAGATACACAAGTCACTAGGAGAAACTCCTCACTGCAGCCAGTCCTAGTTGGTCAGTTTGTGGTCACTTACTTTTGCCCAGATGACCAAAGGGTGTCAGTGTGGAGAGGGCACCTATTTTTGTAGGGACATTGAACACTGCAGTAATGTTGTTTATACCAAGCAATTAAAAATCTTTAAAATAAAATTTGGTGGAGCTACATTTCTAGAAAGAATGTTCAGCAGTTGAAACCAAAATGACGAAATAACTGTAAAGGTGATCCGTTATTTTGAATGCTCAGTTTTGGAAATGAATAGTTTCTAAGGTCCCTAAACATTTATTAAAATTTTATGTTGCTTTAATGTTCTGGGTAAGGTCAATAAAGTAGAGATTCTTCAAATACTTCAGGAGATTTTTATGTTTTTCCCCCAGGATATTCTGAACCATAAAAACCAAAATTACTTTTTGGCTAGTTGATAGTTACAGACGTGCTTTTAAAAGAAAAAAACTTGGAGAATATCCCCGTGTTTACTTCTTTTTAACAAAACAAACAGGTCTTATAATAACCTATTTCTTGAAAGTAGGTCCTCTGATACATCTGCCTGCAAAACAGGGTGTTGGGAGGCTTTTTAACGTGCAGCTTTTTGTGAGCTCCTGAGGTTGATCTCATGGGTCAGTCCCACACGGAGCAGTTTGTCCTCCCCCTACCTCTGCCAGAAGGCTGCCGTGGTTTTGACTTCCACAAGGGGGAAATTTGTCCTTTGGGATGCTCTCAGTGAAGCACCTTATTGTAACATTTCTACTCCTAGGCTGCTCAGAGTAGCTGTAGAGCAAAGGGACCAAACTGACACTTAGCAGAAGGAAGCAGCTCTCGCAGCAGGGCTGCACTGGGGTCGGTGTCTTCTTTTTTCAGGAACTGAATTTGTCACCTGAGGGACTTTGATCTCTCTGTTGGGAAGCAGAAGAGTCTTTCTGTGCCGTAGGCAAGTT